TCTGGATAACTGTTTAGGTAGCAGAATCAGATATAAAAATTGCGTAAGGTTTAGTTGGCGTTAAGTGGAATTATTTGACTACACAAACAACAATGAAATATAGTGGTAGGTACCTACCACAACGTACAATACACCGTTTAAGAACGTTCCTACCGCCTTTAATGTCTACGTTATCTGCCAGTGTTCAAGAACAATGAAACATTTTTAATATTTATAAAAAAAAAAAATGAAGAAAAGAGATAATTTTAATGCAATATTTTTTTTATGATTAACTTCATGTTTGCTATAAGAGCAAATTTTAAATAATCATTCAGATATATTAAAAATTTTTTATCAAAATTGATAATACAAACATTGGTAGACTTTGATATGAACGATCTTAATTGAAGCATCGAAATGAAATAATGACAGACACACGAATTCATTCGTAGACTTTTTTACATCCAAACTGTATGAGATTTGGAAATACAAACGGAATAAAAGGTTTCATCTCATAAACATGTCTGTCCACAAACGAATAGGAAAACGGAAGGTATAATTTCCTATTCATAAAATTAGTTGAATTATTCAAATATCTATTTCATCACTCACTTAAAAAATTGGGTCGAAACTGCGACCGGTATTAGTGACTATTAACAACATGTTAAAGTTGCTCTAAATATGTCATCAAAACGCTAAGAAATTGTAAAATTTATTTACTGTGTATTCGATTAAATTAGCATAAATGAATTTAGTATATCTACACGTATTTTGTATAATGTACGTAGGTATAAGTATGTATAATAATGAACAAAGCAAAATGTTGGCAATATATGTAAACAATTAATAATAAAATCATAAACGAGAAAAGACAATCAAAACAATTTTAATTTAAAATTCGCGTTCCATTTTTAAATGTCGGTAGGTACGTTGCTCTTTTTGTTTTGGGACACGCATAGGGGAGCAGGGCATTTGAATTTGAATGTAAAGCGTTCAGTTTAACGCTCCTTTGTGAGTCAGTGGCGGGCACGGTTGGCTGGCTGCGAAAATTCGACGTTTGCCTCATACTGAGCATAGCGATGGACGAATAGGCGAATACACAAACGTGTGCCATTGCATTGCAGACATTAAAGAACAAGGACAGAGCGACGAATGATGAAATGTTACCACTACATTTAGCTATATATATATAGAAAAAAGCGATGAATTTAAGTACAAAATAAAATAAAATTAGTTTTAATTCTACTTAGGTTATATTTATTCAAAACGATTTATAACTGTAATTATTATTAAAAATATTTTTTTTCAATCTGTATATATGCAAAATATTTATAACAGGACGACGTCTGTACATAGAAGACATTTAAGAAATACTAGTAGGAACAGACTTCATAAAAGCAATAGAAGTTAAAATAATTTTAAGATTTTTGTGTCTGCCTATTTGTTTCAGCATTACGCAAAAACTAACCAATGACACCAAATTGCATGCGATTTTCGCAGTTGTGTTCCTGAAGGTACAACTTAAAATCTGGTGTATGTTTCATCTTGATACACCATCTGGTATATGTCATTGACATAGAGTGATCTAAAATTCACGCACACGAATTGTTTGAATTCAGTTGTAATTCGAAATAACTTTAGAATAGGATTAGGTATTTATTTTGTCAGTTTATTTGAAATATAATTTATGTTCATAATATAGGTAGATATATTAGTTACGTTGTAAAAGGTGAGTTAAATATGGAAATGTGAAAGCCTGCTTATCTTGATCATTACCTTTCAATACAAAGGAAAATGGCGACCTCGTGGAATTGTGCAAATTTTATCGATGCAAAGTAAACGTTACATACGTTTACATTTACGAACGTTCTTGCATCACTTAATAATATGAATACACAGTTGAATAGATATTTAACATGTACAAAGGAAATGTAATCATTTTTATAGTGGACAACGTAGATACAGATTTTGTATAACTACATATTGTTTTCAAATAATTTTGTATTATTGTCTATAGGACCAATCTGTAAGTATATCTTTTCTGGTAAGACCAACATTTTCCAGATCGGATTACAACTGACGGAGTTATATACTTCATAGAAAACCGAATTGAGAATCTTCTTTTTGAAATCAGATAAAAAAGCAAAATGGACATGCACTGATGAACGATGAAATGTTTCGTAGACATTGAAAATATTCGAATTTAGAACGTGGAATCACGTGTCTTATTAATATTTTACTTAGCAATACTAATAGTTAGGTACAGCTGTTTCGCGAACTACTGTCCGCAACTACAAAGAAAAATGGTAGCTTAAATATGGACTCAACATGGGATCAGAGTCTTTCGATTGCAAAAAGAATAATGATGGGATCAGAATTCATGACGTAATCTGGTAATATTGCAACAAAAAAAATCTGATTTATAATTCGTAAACCTTTTTTAGAAGTACTTTTAAATTATAACTTTAGGAATTTGGGATGTATAACAAAATCGAAATCAGTGTATGGTTTACATGAGTATAGTCAATTACTGAATCTGTGGAAGCAAATTCATGATTATTTCTTCATTTCTAAAAAGATATCATTGAAGTATCTATCCATGCACTGAAATACATATTAGTAACAATAGAACAAGGGGATTTAGATGAAAATATGTTTTGCTAAATCGTTATTCCAATCTTTGTTATAGGCAAAGGTAACACGTTGAGTAGGGAGCGTTACATAACTCGCCTACAATTATAGTAGATCGAGTGAGGCCGGGAAATAGGTATGAAAATGTTTACTTTGCTCGGATCGCAGTTCCATGAAACCTAAGTTAAATAAACTATCGAATCGTGATTCATCTAGCAACATTTGGCAGATTTACGAAATTAAATTTTTTCGAGCAACACCGAGAATTATATTTTATCGAGTATTATAATATACTTATAGTTCATTCAGTAATGTTAGAATCTGAAAGTCCTATGTGTAAGGATAGGTACATAGAATAAAACAAAAACGGCCGATACAAATTACAGTAAACACTATCTACTTGATGTATGCAACAGCTGGCGATCTATTTTTTCGTTGTAACTATTCGCGAAAAGGTTTACAACTAGTAAAAAGTAAAAAAGTAGAACGATTAAGGATTTGCAATATGGCCTCCAAATCTGACACCTGTATCCGTTGCGCAGGCGTAGGGTGCAACGTCTACGTATTGCCTAAGGACGTGACATCCATTTTGCATGATCAGTTAATATTAAAACCTTAACACCAACTGTGGGTTCCAATAAAATACGTAACAATACCTTTAAAAAAATATAGTACGTATATAATTATAATTCTTACTATTTTCAAACCTAGATGCGAAAGTCAAGAACGAAAAGTGTTAAATACATTATAATTCACGCATTACATGCATATAAACACTGGCATATATGACCTGGTTAAAAACAGTACTATTATAAATGCAAAATAGAGAGTTTGAACGTCACTTTTATAAAGAATTGTTTTAAAAAAACTTGTCATTAGATAATTTGAAATTCAGAGATTAGTATACAGTATTGTAGACTATAGATGTTATGTTACTGGTATAAAGAACTTATATGACGTTATTATAAATTCAAAATGGCGTGCAATATTATTTAATCTACAGTAATTAATCGGAGATTTAATCGATGTTTATAGTTAGTTTTGTGCATAAATACCTAATATTGACGAAGTTTGAAGAGTTTGGGAAAACAAAAAGCGCTTATATTTAAACAATTAGTAATATAAGGAATATGTTTTTTAACGATTTATTACACATAATATTGATTAGGAATAGTATAAGTTGCAAAGGACTATAAACTGCAAACTGTATCTTTATAGAGAAATATTTTGTATGAATCACCAAGTATTTTCGCCAACAAACATGGCGGATAGAGTATGTAAATGAAAATACAAACATAATTACTTAAAGGTACCCCAAATGGGGTCTGACGATGTTCTTATCTCTGTGCTATTGTTTAACACGCTTTTTTCATTCCCACGGTCGGCGGCGTACAAGCAAACGGCTGATAACGACGAGCACCTACCTGTTGTGACGAACGAGAAAGAACTTCGTGGAATTCTAGCTATCAAACACAGTATAAAACTAACAAATGAAATTTTATGCTCTTTAAAAATATATGTGATTTTGATGATTCAATTAGTACAAGAACATTAAAAGATGTAGCAGAAGTTTAACTTCAAGAATTGTGTGAAGTTTGAAAAGTATATGCACAATGTGTTTGTAAAATTATAGATAAAATAATAGTTTAATTGAAAAATTTTGTAATTAATATGCTAGAATTAATTATATGGTATATACAAAGGACTTGAAAAACTTAAAATATGATAATATATAATTTTGATTTAGTGATGCTCCTAGAGTAATAATGGTATTCTATTGTACAGACAAAGGGGCTACTATTATTTTTTTTAATATATATAATTTGTACAATAAAGAGAAAGATGCTGATGCAGTTTATTATATCGAAATAATCACAATTTTCATCGAGTATATATTTAAATTAAGACGTAAATTTTTTTTTAGTTTCTGAATTATTTTGTATATTAGTAGAACTGATAATCAGAACAATAGGTAGGTACATTTTGCAGTTCATTTTATTTCGGTTTAGAGCAGGAATATTAATTAGTTATAATATTAACTAGTAGCTCAATAAAGTATTAGATCCTATAGATAAAGGAGAGTCGATAATCGTCATTAGTAACAATAATAATATTAAACAATATTTGCCTTTATTGGTTTTAGATTGATTCTAAAACAATATAAAGTGAACAATAAATAATGTGACTATAGAAAAAAATCTGCAAAAATAAAGCTTTGTATTCATCTCATGAAGACAGAAAACGCGTTGTTAAATATAAATATTTAAACGAAACGACATCAAACAAAGAGTCAGAAGTCAAGTGCAAAATTCACCAGCGACCCACGCTTGTTGAAAGGACAGATAAAATGTAATAGGTATATGAGCTGAATCCATTATCCAATGACGTACAGCAATTACCCATTTAATGCAATTTGGGCCATTGTAAAGTTGTCCATCGCGACTTCTCGTACATTCCCGGCGACACACACTAAAAAGCACCAATTAGTGGAATCACTACAGAGCAAACACTCTTGAAGCACAGGTAGATCGCGAGCGTTCGTGTCTAGAACCGGTCATTTCAAATTAGCAGCGTTGTATCCAGAGTTTTCAGTGGCAGGGTATGAGGGCGCGCGCGTGCGTCGCTGCGGCCGGCGCGCGACTACTCGGCGCTCAATGGGCGCCTGGCGGAGGGGCGAAGCTCGCGATGTCTCACTCCCAGTGAGCTTACGAAAATCACCAATTGCAACTATTCTCTCATTAAACGGGGTAATTTACTTATCAAAGTAACAATTTGCAGTTTAAAGATCGACTGTTAACAGTTCTGATACGTGAGCCGATTAAAAACACCTCGGCTAGATTATTTGGCTTGACTCAAGAAAGTACGGGATTTTTTCTAAGCTTCCGATCGTGGAGCTATAGTGCGACGTTAACGCTTTGCATCCGGTGCCACCTGCTCACACTCGAGAAAAGATTATGCGTTAGAAGGAGATGAAGTGATCGAGCAGAACGCGGACCGGATGGCGGACTTTGTTATGAATGAATCCGCTATCCTTGTCTGGCGTACAGGTTTACGTAACAGTCTCATTCGGGCACAGGTTGTCGCCGTAGAGGAAGTGAAAGGGACAAGAGGCGTAGTAAATATTGCGCTCAGTGGATCCCATCGGGAGTTTCTAAGGGTTTGGTTTTTTGTGATACCACAGGATGACCATCATTCATAGTTTTGGTATGATAACACAGGTTTTAGAAATTTTGAGTTAAAATGATAAAAATTACCTGTATTCTTTTGTTCATCTAAAAGGTGTTCCATTTGTGCATAAGCAATATGGTAATTTTGCAGGTACTATGTTTAAAACTAATAGCAACATTTATGACATTATATTAGCTAATAAAAATCGCTCTATCTGGTGCCTTCGCCCTTTTCTCTTTTTACCTGGGGTTTTATTATGTAAAATACAGGCTTGTAACTCTAAAAAATTTGGCAGTGGTTTGAAAAGTCAGTTACAGAGTTTTGCTTTCTGTATTCCTGAGGATCCATAGTTTTAAGGTTGACTGCATTGGTTATTATATAAATTATATTCAATAATTATATTTAAATTATTGACATTATTACTATTAGTAGGTAAACCTTTCTTTTTAATTAATTCAATACTCGAATCTTTATTCTATTTATATTTCAGGATGAGATGTGATTTTTAGTTCAATGTCTAAAATTTTACGGACACACAAAATCTTAAATTTGCAAATTTTTTAGGCAATTATAATTAAAAAGGTAAAAAATTGGATCTTTGAAACAGTTTTTGAAATCAGATTGCACTGCAATTGCAAGTACATGGAGCTATACTTTGTTTATTACAAGTAGGTATATAAGTTTCTAAACAAAGTTGGGATTGTAATGTCTCTGTCTTCTTACAAGTTGCTAACTAAGGTACAAGGTATTGTCGTAGAGTTAGGACAAAACACCTTTTTCGCGGTATTGTTATCTGAGGGCGCGGCGCGGGCCGAGTCAATGTTTGCAGAAGGCGAACGTCGTGGCCGAGACCCAGCACGTGGACATTGTAAAAAGTAAACATGAGATCGTGTGTTTATCTTTGAATTTATACAGAGATGCACAGAAAGTCTCATAAGTATCAATAATTGTCGTCACATTTTACCTTAGTCACTCTATATATCTATTTTTTTTTTAACATCAACATTAATAACAACAAGTTAAATTATTCAATGCAATTATTAATCATGCCAATGTACCTATTGACTGTGGAATTCTTATAAAATGTACTTTCGTAGGAATATATTAAAACAATAACATTTTTGTTCGAAACAATGATATTATTGTTGTTTACAATGAATTTGCAAGTGTGCTAACACTTATCTCCCGTTCCGTTTTCAATTTCGGGAAATTATTCCAACGGATTTCAAAAAGAAGGTCGAATAGGTCGTATTTTTTATGTTTGTTACTTTGGAACTCCGTCAGTTGTGAACTGTAATTTTTTTTATATGAAAAGATATATTTACAGATTGGTCCCACAAAAATATTTTCAAATTCGGTACAGTAGTTTAGTATTTAAACAAAAATAACCGCTAATGTGAGAATTGAAGTCGGTTTTTTTGTGATACACAATTTTAATTATAGGCTATATATTATATTAATAAGTCAGTTAGTATAGACAAATATTTTCATACTTATATAAAGATTCCTTTGTCGTTTCCATAAAAAGTATGTAGGTCATATTGCAAAATTTTTAAATGACTTATTGTCGCCTTTGACCAATTGCCCAAACGCAACTTGCTTTCAAAAGTTTCGTTAAAACAAATAGAGTACGTAAGAATCGCCTTTCACTAAGACAAACAGAGGATGTGGCTTGGCTGTGGTCATCACTGATGTTTGAATGCATCAGCTGAAATTCCAGGAACACTTTTTTGAGATTAAATTCGATGAGATTTCGTATTTCATCTTAGGTACATTATGCCAATTGAGTTACTGTGTTTTAGAAGTAGAAAACTAATAAAATAGACCATTCCCAATTAGCATATCAAAATAAAACAACTTAATTTTTTTATTTTTGCAGAGGATTTTTTTTATTTTAACATTAATAGACATAAGACATAAGCATAAGTGACATTACTCAAATTAAAGGAGGTTGGGATGTCATTTCTTTGTCTTTTAATTTGAGAGTTTCCTTTTGTTGGAGATAGACGACTAAAGACTATACGTTTTTAAATTTAGATTAATCGAAAATCAAGCTTGGAAATTTTTTCTTGATAATTACGTTATGGTAGTTATTGAATTATGATGGCATATAATTTCCACAAAATATTCCAGAATATAAAGTTAACGCTCAGTTCAAAGTAGTTGATATAGAAAATGGCAATATTCCAAATAGCTGTTTATATAATGTACGACAGTAATTTTCGTAAAGATTCAATGGGAAAGAAGATAATGGGTTCTAAGTGGACAAAGACGTGTGTTTGTTTTTACTTCAAAACAAATTTAGTAATAATAATTTACATTAGAACTTTCGAGTTGTACCTATAATTTAATTAAAGACTGAATAACATAAACAAATGGTAAATCAATGCAATAAGAACGGTGCATCATGCCACAAATCAATGGGATCCCGTCCTGTCGAACCATGTAACCTCGGAGCGCCAGGTGCTACGCGGGAAGTGCCTCCCCCTCACCCCCCACTCCAGTGTACACCCGCGCACATCAGATTACACACACACTAGTGAAGTGGAGGAAGTTACCACCGCTATCGAACGGTGACGTACAGATCAAAATGTGCATGTGTGTTTATGTAATTTATTAATGGTATGCATTTGCGTATACGCCGCTCGTTGCGTATGAAAAATGGCGATATAAATATAAAATTAAGTGGACGCTAATTCATAAGTATAACCCTTTAATGGGCATTAACATACAGAAAACCCAAGATGTAGAAGATGTACAATAAGACACTAAAAAGCGGTACCGAAAATAGAGCACTAACTTATGAACTCATTTTAAACCAGTGACAATGGCTGTCAAACGTGCCGAAAGACAGACTATCATAGCTTTGGTAAATAAGTATTTGATTTATACTTCCTTAACGGTTTAGTTTTAAAATTTTAATTTAGAAGAGTTTTAAGTGTAATTTTTGAATGGGAATTCGAATCTAAGTTTCTTTGTACATTATTGGCAGAATTAAGATCTAACACATTATAGAAAATAAATATCACGTAATATTTAATGCTCACCTAAAAATTGTTAGAAGCACTTCATCTGTGTTCACTGTTGTAATGTGTTTTTTTTTTATAATTTTGATTATTATTGCGAATTAGTTTAAGAGATAGAAAACAGCATAGCAGGTGTTCTAGTCTCTATTCATTTATTAATATCCAGATCATTAATGATAATAATTACGTAAATTTTCTTAAGGCCTATTATAAAGTTACCAGTACAAATATATAAAAAAAATATAATCTCTATATGTAACTACGTTACAGCTATGTAACTGTGTATTTAAAATTTTATTGCTACCTTGTGTTTTAATTTTAGATAATAATTGCTTATATACCTGTAAAACGCCACATCTTTTCATCCAAAATACCTTAAAGTTTGAAAACGGCCTTTAACCAGTGCGTGTTGCCAGTGATAACTTATGGAACCGAAACATGGGTCTACAAGATTGGCCGTATGCAAAAGCTTCAAATAAGTACGGGCAAATGCAGTGTAGAACGACACCCCCCCCCCTCATTAGATGGAGTGACAACCTCAAATATATTGCAGGGAGTTAGGGGATGCAGGTGGCTCAGGATTGTTTTTTTTTTTGCAATTTGCACAAGTTGAAAACTTCAAATGCTTTAATTCATTGTCATATCACCTTTCATTGTCCACTGCTGAACTTAAGCCTTTCAAATAAACAATTTTGAAAGATATAGACAGGAGGACGAAGTCACAGGAAACAACTAGGCATAACTATTTATGAATTCCGTATTAAATAATCTGTGATACTATGAACTAGCAATACTAAAAAATCTCAATATGCACATGATGTCTATTACGATGTAAAGGCATTAGTCACCAGAGGAATTCTTTTATGCGTTAGAGCTTATTGTTAGCTATTCACATAAAATATTATCGACAGGTAGCGAAGTCCATTACAATACGTCCTTCCGGTATCCGATTCAAAAGTTACACATTCAAAAATGTTTCTTAATATTGAACGATAAAATTGAAATCACGTTGAGTGTTATATATAATTCTCGAAATATTAAGGATTCGACAGTCGAATTTGAAGGGTTTAGTACACAAATTTAGGTCTTATTCTCCGGGAATTAGATTGTGAATGGAATGAAAGGGATTTGTTTAAAATGATGGTTAGTACGAGTAGGTAGGATAAGTCATCCGGTTGGGTAATGTGACACCCAGTGGAAGGGAACATCATTAAACGCGTAAGCGCAACCCTTTATTGTAAATCTTACTATTATAATGAACGGAATACATTAAGTGTAATATGTAAATACATATAAAGTTATACTATTCACTATACACATATATATAAACTATACATTAAATAATAAAGTATAACAATGTAGACCTCTGTCGTTAAATGCGTTTATGTCTTTTATATGAGAAGTGAGTCATGATCAATTAATAAAAAATAACTTTTAAA